GGTGGGTGGATGGATGAGTGGATAGGTGGATGGATCAATGGGTAGGTGAGTGGATGGATGGATGGATGGATGGATGGGTGGATGGATGGGTGGATGGGTAGATGGGTGGATGGATGGATGAGTGGATAGGTGGATGGATCAATGGGTAGGTGAGTGGATGGATGGATGGATGGATGGATGGATGGATGGATGGATGGATGGATCAATGGATAGGTGAGTGGATGAATGGATGAATGGACGGATGGGTGAATGGGTAGATGGGGGGGATGAGTGGATGGATAAGTAAGTGAACGAGTGAAGGAATGAAGTCACCTCTGATTTACATAAGAAGTATAAACAAAGCCATGAAATTTCTCAGTGGAGAATTTTAATCAATGGTTTTGAAAAAAGTAAGAATGAATTCACCTGAGTTTGGCCGGACTTGGCTTGTTCTGTTGGAGCGAGTCAAAGGTAAGCCCCAAGCCAGGAAGCCCTACTGCTCACCACATACCCAGAGGTTGAGGGAGGGAAGAACGGCGAGCGGGAGCAGGTGGGGGCCCTATTTGTGGTGCTCAGAAACGGTCTGAGAGAGAAGCCATGGACTCCTGGGGCATTAACTACAGCACAGTCATGCAGGGACTAGAGAGAGAGCACCCCGTGCAGTGGAGAAGCCCAAAAAGTCTCCGTGGAACCATCGTCACAGCCATCAGCTAGTGAACGAGTGACGAGGGCAGTGGCTGTGGCTCAGGGGCGTGAAGGCTCCCGAAAGGCACAAACAGATGGCCACTCAGCCCACGTGACGTGGTTGCACCAGCCGGGACCTTCACCACACCCCCAGGCAGATGCCATCTGCTGAGGTCAGTAGGACTGGCCTGCCCACCCACCTCTTCGTGGCCCCGCTGGGTCCTGCCCACCCCACTGGACTCAGCATCTCCCACCCACAGCTGGAGCCCAGCACCCCACTGCTGTCCCAGTGGGATTTGACGTTTCCCACAGCTCCTTAGAACCCACCTAGTCCAGCCCCTGCCCCATACAGCACCCCCAAATCCAGGGTATGGTGACATGGACCCAAGGCGCCCTGCCTGTGCGCGTGAATCCCTGTGTCCAGCCCTCACCTCCATGGTGATCACCTCCACCTGGACGCTGGCCGGGAGGGGCAGGTTGGGCTGGAAGCGCTTGGCCAGGGCGACGAGGAGATGCAAGGTGGCCATCAGGTCCTTGCTGAAGATGGCTGGGGGTGGGGAGGACCAGGTTAGCGCTGTGGGGCCGCCCAACCCTGGGCCACACGGAGGAGTTGTCGCCATCACAACGACCCTCTGCAGACCAAGGAGACCTGCATCCAGCCCTCTGGAAAGCAGACTCTGGAGGTCCATTCACTCTGCCCCGGTCATCCCAGCTCTGCGAGTACGGCCCAAGGGCACACCGCCGTGTGGACGGGCTGCAGACAGAGTGTGCGCTGCAGCGCTGTTTACCACTGGAGCCAACTAAATGTCCCGTCCTGCAGGAGGGCACCGCTCAGCAAATGGCCAGACTTAAGCTGAATGTGACTTAATTCAGGGTCCACATTATAAACACCAGTTACTGAGTGTGAGAATTTAAACACAGCGGCGACGGCAGTGGCACGCGGCCCAATAAAAAGAGCGTTTGAAAACTGTTACGTCATCGCCAGCCAACCTCGGAGAAGCTTCTTAACTCCTCTCAGGCTCAGTTTCCTCATCTGGGAAATGGGGAGGATGCAGAGAGGGAATGGCAGGAAATTCACACCAAACTTAACGGGGTGGGGTGGGGCGGTCTGGGGCTGCCATATCTCATTTCTCACAAGCTGGCGGCGCAGATGTAACTTAAATAAGCTAATGAAATGGGACTGTTAGGCCCACGGCGTGTGCGGTACTTGGCACCCAATAAATAGTGGCTGCATTGGTGACAAGACTGCACTTGTCCCCGCGTGCTGGGCTTGGCGGCAGCGATGCCCTCGGGGTGCAGAAGCGTGAAGGGCTGTTTGCTCCTCGGCGGGGCCCGACTCCGCGCCTGCCGGAGCTGCGGCCTCCTTCCAGCCCCCGGGCTGTGCCCACTCCTGAGGGGGACGAGCGCCCGCCAGGCAAAGAGACAGCCCTGGTGCGAAAGGACCAGCTCCGGCCTCCCCGACTCAGCCCCGCTGAGGCCCACGTACCCTCCGTGCTCCACTTGGCCTGCGGCTCCTCGACCTGCAGACTCCGGTTGGCGGCCGCCAGGACCACCGCGAGCTTGCGCCTCTGGCTCGCCTCTGTCAAGGCGATCTCCTCCACCTCCAACTTGAGCCCCGCCAGCTTCTCTGAGAGCCACAGAGGGTAGCAGAGGGCAGGAGGGCGTGGGGAGAAGGCAGTGAGAGGGTGGCAGGGGGTGGGAGAGGGGGAGGGGGTGAGTGGGGGTAGGGGACAGTGTGGGCCCCTGCAGGGGGACCCACAGCCCGTGGCTTCCTCCCGGAGGCTGAGGTTGGCCAGCCTTCAGGCAGTAAGGGTGCAGCCCCCTCCTCACACAGGGCGTGCAGGCTGTGTGACCTGAGCAAGCCCAGCCCTCCGAGCTGCCCCCCACTGGCCCTCCTCCGCTCTACTACCCCTGTGCCCCAGTCCCTTAGCCTTCCTCACAGCTCTGGGTACTTCCTTTCTGCAGGGCAGTGTGGTCTAGTGGTTAAAGCCTGGACACCTGACTCCCCTGCTTTCTTCATTGAGACCTCAGACAAGTTTCTAGGCCTCTCAGAGCCTCAGTTTCCTCGTCCGTAAAATGGGGGCAGTAACACCATGGAGTTGTCCCGAGGATTAACCGCACCGTTACACGGTAGGTGCTCAGCCAGTTGGTAGGCTTGTTCTGTAGCCCATGCACAAGGTGCTCCACAAACAGCCCTGAGCCAGGCCCCAGGCTGGCCGAGGACGGAATCAGGCCCACCCTCCTTCCAGGACCTCACAGCTTCGTGCAGAAAACAGACGTGGGGACACACATGACCTCACGACAGCAAAGCGAGAGGTGACGGGGGCCTGCGGGGCCAGGAGGCAGCCCTGAGGGTCAACACACCCTTCCCGCACTGGGGGCCTTCTAATCGGAGACAGGATCCCCCAGGCAGGAGCCAGCCCTCCTCCACCTGCCAGGGTCGTCTCCCCGGTGGCCTGTTTCTCTCCAGCAGCCTGGGCAGCCCCAGGCAGGACATGGGTTTCTTTGTTGTCTCCAGCAGCTTACAAACAGCAGGCGCTCCATAAATGCTTGAGAGGCAGTGTGGAGGTGGGGGAGTCCACGGTTTGGCAGAGAAAAAGCAAGAACTGGGGCCCCCAGACTCCCGCAGGGAGTGGGAGGATGAGGTTGAGCGAGGAGCCCACCCGAGGGGACCTGCAGGGCCCACTTGGGGGGAACAGCCGCTTACGGAAGAGGTGGTGCAGGATGAGCCCGTCGAACATGTCCTCCTCCAGGCTGCGCACCACGATGTGCTCCAGGAGGAGCTCGGTGTTGATCCACTCCATCAGCACCTGCAGGCCCCGGGGAACAGCTGACCCGGGGGCCACTTCTCACCTGACCTCCACCTGGCTCAGCCCTGCCCACCTGCCAACTCCTACACATCCTTCAGGGCCAGGTCTAACATCACCTCCTCTGGGAAGCCCTCCTTGATCTCCCAGGCTGAGTTAGGAACCTGCTCTGGGACCCACACAGCCTCTGCTTCTCTCCACCACACACCTGAGCGCTGAGGGGTGTTGTTTGTCCTGTGTGAGGTTTTGGTAATACAGGGGCTGCCCACCCTGCAAACTTCACCTCTGCGGCACACACCGCCCGCTCCCCTCTGCAGCTCTGCCTGAGGGCTGCCCCGGAGGCCGGCCCCACCCTGCATGTGCTCCATGGGCAGACGCACTGGGACGTAGTGCCCCCGCCCCTTTAAGGGAGCAGCCCCGAGCTAACCAGGAGTTGGTGGACAAACACCCAGCTCCTCCGCCCCGGTGGGAGCCGCCAGGGCTGCTCCACACTGGCTCCCTGGTGCCCGGCAGGCCTGAGCTCCCACAGCTGAGACTTCTCCATCACTCGCCCGGGGCGGCTCCTTCCCTCCCCATCTCACTCCCCACTTCCCTTCCTCGTCTCCTGAGATTACCTCCCAGCTCAACTACTGGCACCCACACCCTTATCTCAGGATCAGCTTCTGGCGGAACCCAAACTAAGACAGGTCGGCACCCACCAGGTTTTCCAGGAGGGACCAGTCTACTCTGCGTCCCAGTGCCCAGTGGTGGAAAAGGTGGATGGAGGAAGCGAGGGAACAAGAGGGAGGAAGGAAGGGATAGAAAATGGAATACAAATCCTCTGGGCGTGGAAGGTGGTGCAGGCCAGGAGGCCTCCCTGGAGGAGGCAACAGAAAGGTCCCGTGGAGACTAGAGAAGTAGGATTTCCTAACAGAGGAAATCAGAGGCCCTGAGCCTGTGCCCAGCTGGTCCTGCCACCAAGGAGAGACCCGTGCCCAGGGCGAATCATGCCTGTTCCTGCCCACTTCTCCAGCTGTCCGTTGCCTTGGGCAGCAGCGTGAGTGAAGGAGCTCAAGCTTTGGGGCCGACGGCCTGGGTCAAACCCCAGCTCTGCTGCTGGCTAGCCGTGTGCCCCCCGCAGGTCAGGTCACCTCTCTGAGCTCACTATCTGCTCCCTGAGATACAGGTGACGACAGATCCCTCTCAACCATGGGGAGGCTTTCTGGGATGGCGCATGTAAAGGCATGCAGTGGGTGCTCAATAAATCCTCTTTCATGCCGCCATTCAGCAGGTCCCCCAGGGAAGTGTGGGTCACTGCTCGCCAGCCTGAGGTCAGGGAGGGAAGGGGGCGGCCTGCTGTCCCCACGCCAAGGAAATGCACAGGCTGCCTCCGGAGGCATCCAGGTCAGAGAGACTGTCCTACCCTCTGCAGCTCTTCAAACTTGGGATCCTTCCGGGAGGTGGGCGGCAGGTACTTCTTCTTTTGTCCTGGAAGCAGAGGGGAGCGTGACACGCGTGGGGGACCCTGCAGGTCACCGTGGAGCCGGCACCGTGACCACGAGGGGAATTTGGTCCTGCTGCTTCACACACTCACAAGTGCACACACACGCACTCTCACAAGCAGACACACTCCTGCACACACACACACACACCCAGACACATGCACACAGGTACGTGCCGACACACACAGGCACACACACAGAGACACAGACACATACCTGCCCACAGACACAAACTCACACACAGACACACACACACATATGCACACACACAGGCACAAGCACTCACGTGTACAGACACACACAGTCATAGACACACACAGGCACGCACGCACAGCCTGAGCACCAAACATCCAGAGTGGCTTGGGTTTCCCAGACGTGCCTCATCCTCCACACCTCCTTGCTTTGCCCATGCTGTTCCCACCACACCCCACATGCCCTTCCTCCTCCTCTCCCTCATGAGCACCAGCTCATCCTCAGACATTGTAATGCTTCTATTTTGGGAACATACTTAAACTCAAAACTAGGGCCGGCCCCGTGGCTTAGCGGTTAAGTGCGCGCGCACTGCTGCTGGAGGCCCGGGTTCGGATCCCGGGCGCGCACTGACGCACCGCTTCTCTGGCCACGCTGAGGCTGCGTCCCACATACAGCAACTGGAGGGATGTGCAGCTATGACATGCAACTATCTACTGGGGCTTTGGGGGAAAAAATAAATAAATAAAATCTTTAAACTCAAAACTATTTCTTATCTATCTCAAATTCACATTTAACTGGGCATCCTGTATCTTATCCGGTGATTCTACCCACCTACATAGGAAGAAGCCACAGCTCAGACGAGCGAGCCCAGGCCCCAGGGCTCCAGGGGGCCAGAGCGGATTCCACCCACGTCTGGCTGGCTCCTGGTGTGGGTGGGACACTGAGGCCACCCTGGCTCACTCTCTGAGCCCCAGGACCTGGGCCAGCAGCTTCCCTACGTTTTAGACTCACGGAACCCACAAAATATCAGGGCCGAGAGGGACCTATGAGGTCATCTGGTTCCAGTGGACATGGCGAAACTGAGTCACCACGTGGGGATCTTCTTCCCAAGTTCACGAAATGTATTGCCCCCATCTTCACATGACCCAGCTGGAGACTTTTCCTAGATGTTCTGAAAACCTTCGAGTACTATCCAGCCCCGTGTCTTCTAACGTGCCGGGCACCGAGCAGGCTCTCATCAAACACTTGGGGAGGGAGTGAACGAGTGAGTGAATGAATGAATGAATGGCTATGGTGACACCCCCCCGCCCCTTCCTGGAGCAGAATTCTTGCCACTCTGAATCACCCCATGTTCCAGCTCTGCTTGCCAGAACTTTAAAATCAATTGTAATCTAAACCTAAATCAATTGTAAAACAACAAGTAAACATGTTTTCAAATAACTAAGCCCGACCACACTAACAGCAATTTTCCTCACGACACTTTCCAGTCTTAAGCCGTTTATAAGCAGAGAGCACCAGTAAAGTCAGCCTCGCGACTTGGGACCGGCCGGTGGGTCCCTGGGGTCTGACTCGCCCTCCAGGGGGCTGTGGGTCCACCGCGCCTGCTTTCCGAGGCTGTAGCCGCGGGATCTAGAGGAAGGTGCATGCTGTTCTTCCGCATAGAGTGCTTCCCACTTTTTCTCCGTCATCCTATTTAGGTTCTAAAGACCACCTGAATTCTAGCGAGTTCACTTAAAGCCCTGCGCAGGGGACGCTGGGCTGCTTCCTGGTTTGCTGTTTGCTTGTCTCTTTTCTATAACACGGTGACCACAGCTCTGCGCTCCTGCCATCGTCCTCCTTTCAAACCGTCTCTAAGGAGGGAGATTTCAGGGGCTGTGGCCACAAACTCCCCAAGCTCAGAAAACAGAGCCTTGCTGAACGGGGCACCCGCACTCATTGAATTGCTCCGACCCTAAGCCCGCACGATTTTAGAGAGACCCACATGCGAGAAGGGAGCGGACCAATAGGCCCCTCATCCTGCAAGGTGGCAGGTCTGTGCGGATATCTGCCAGTGGGCTGGAACCTGAATTCTGGAGCCATCCTCTGTGGGTTCAGAATCCCAGCTCCACCACTTATTAAGGGAGTTACCTGTTACTCTATGTTACTCTGTGCCTCAGTTTCCTTGTCTGTGAAAAGGAGGTGGTAACACGCCCCCCACCGAGAGCAATCAATGAGATGCTGCACATAAGCGCTTAGCACACCCAGCACACAGCAGGCACACATAGCAATTAGCATCCTCCGCATCAGCAACATCACCATTAACCTGGAGGGGCGTGGGGATAACTGTGGAAAGTTCCAGAAGCAGGCAGGCGGTGGGGAGAGTCAAGTATAAAGCAGAAGGCGTACACAGAGGCTGAACAGAACCGGGTGTTCAGTTGACAACTTGGAAAGCCGCGCATGTGCCCGGGCACGGCCTGCTTGGTTTTTGCGAGGCAGACTCTCACCCTCCACCGCCCCCGAACCCGCAGCCCAGCTCGGGCACCGCACCTTGTTGGAGCTCCTCCTCCACCAGCGGGTCCACCACCTTCGGGAGCTGCAGCAGGTTGTACAGAGACTCCGGCTCCATTTCTCCCTTGCCGGCCCTGGGGGATGAGGGGACAGAGGGTGTCACTGGCCGAGTAGCCCCAATCTCACTCTGTGGGTGGACAAGTCACCACACTGCCCGGGCAAGGACGCAGGGCCCCTGATGCGGAGGACGCCCGGAGCCAATCCTCGCAGGATGCTGGGGTGGAGAAAGGCACGCGGCTGAGCAGAGGCTTCTCAGGGAAATGGCGCCCCTCGGTCAGGAGCAGAGCAGCCAGCCCCCCGCTCTCCTGCAGCACACAGGAAGCCCCCACCCCACCCCCAGCAGTCAGGACAGAGGTGGGCAGCCCACTCCTCAGAGCTTGTCAGATCCAGGAAACCTTCAGGCTGCGCTCAAGGGGGAAGTCCGGGCTGGGCCTGCGTGGGGGGCCTGTGGGGCTGGTAGGGTGGAACACACTGATGGTGACACGGACAGATCTTGAGCTCCTGCGGGGGGCCAACAGGACAGTCTCCTCTGGGCCCCTGAGACCAAGACAGATGGGCACAGAGCAGCACTGCCAGCCTTGGAGTGAGCGGAGCGGAGCTGGTGTGACAACGTCACCCAGACTCATCCCCACTCTGTGCAGGCTTGGCTCTCAGGGTGGCCTGGCCCTGCCTGGCCCCTGATTCTGAACACGGCTCTCTACAATGGGACTATCATCCCCAACCTCTAGGGGTGGTTTGGGGGTCTCAGGGCTCATGCCCATGAAGCACTGGGCACATGCTCGCTGGGAAGGGCCAGCATCCTCATTACGGGCAGGGTGCCGGGCTCGCCCCAGGCCTGGGCCGGGAGATTCAGAACCAGCCCAGCCTCCTTCCTGTTCCCCGCGGCTCACTTCCTCCCCTGCTTGGCTGGCGGCTCTGTCCTCCCTCCCTCTCTCTCTTCTGCCCCTGGTCTTCCCCAGTGTTCCCAACCCCAAACAGACATCTGGGGCAGGGGTGTCGTGCAGCGGAAGTTGGTGTTCAGCTTCAGCCCCCGGGCAGGTCTGGCTGGAGCAGGGCGCAGAGCCGTGGTGAGATGGAGGCATTCACAGGGCTGGGGCCACCCCGTCACACTAGCAGCCAGCCTGGGGACACTGGGGGACCGTTCTGCCCTGAAGTGGGGACAGGGAGAGCCTCTGAGCCAACCCTGTCCCCTAAACTCCCAAGCCCCCTCTTGGACACCAGGATTCTGTCCGAGGGATGTGGTCAGAGAAGAGGAAAGAGCCCGGCCTGGGGGTTGGGAGGCCTGGGTTGCAGGCTAGCTCTTCCTCATTCTGGCTGTGTGACTTTGGGCAAACCCCCTCCCCTCTCTGGTCCTGAAGCTTCTTCACAAGAAGAGGCTGGACTTGACACTTGCCAAAGGCAGCTGAGTGGACACAGAGCTGGGAGCTACCTCGAGCCACCAGCAGCCTGGACAGTCCTTCTCTGCCCTGGGTCCCAGTTCCTTCAACTGAACGCTGGGGTGGCCTTTCTTCCCCACCCACTAGATGAAGCTCAGGGAAGGTGACATGGCGGAACGGAAAATCTGTTCACCTGGCTACACGAGGGGTGGGATGGTGCCCTTCTGCCTGTCTGGGCCTCCGGGAAGCGAGGAATGGCCGCCTCTAAGCATGGGGAGGACGGGGCACGGGGCTCAGGGTTCTGCCTTGCCCGGCTCCCTCAGCTAAGACCGTGCTCTCTGGGCTCCGTTTCCACTGGCCCTCGGAGCCCTCCCTGCGTGAGCTCGGCCTCCTGAGACTCAGGGACAGGCAGAAGGCCCCGGCGGCCGAGGGCTCCCGCGGCATAGATGCCAGAGACTCACCTCCTGCTTCCTCCACGTAAGGAGACGAAGGCCACGTAGCTCCAGGGGTGGTCCCCGGGTTCCAACCGAAAGCGGGTTCCCGGTTCCCTGGGTCAACGGGGGGCTGCAGGGGCTGGCCCGGAGGCAGGGCCCAGCTGCTCACTTCCTCCGGGGCCTGTGGCTTCTGCAGGGCCTGCTCGGCTGCGTCTGCAGGGCGCTTCCTCCTTGCTGGGCGGCGGGGCCTGATGCTTCAAAAGCGATGCCACCACCAACCTACCGGAAAGATCTGCCCCTGGAGTCCCAGAGACCCGGCCACACCTCCTGGCGCCCTGGATGCCTCGCAGGCAACTCAAGTTTAACATTTCTCCCCCCCACCCCCACCCCCACTATACAAACCAAGCCAGTTCCTCCCCAGTCTTCCTGCCTCCAAGTGGCAGCTCCATCCCCCGGAGGCTGGGAGTCAGCTGCCCCCCGGGGCCCCCACACCCCACCATCAGCAGACTCGCAGCTCTGCCTCCAGGCCGTCCCGCCACCTCCATGCCCCCACCTCGGCCAAGCCCCCTTCCTCTTGCCTGGACCACACAGGGGCCTCCTAGCTGGACCCCGCTGCCAGCTTCACTCACACCCACCTCCTGCCCCTGAGTTCTCCATAAGCAACCAGAGGACCCGCTTCATGTCCCAACTCACTCAAACCCGCCAACAGGGCCGGCCCCGTGGCTTAGTGGTTAAGGGCACTCGCTCCGCTACTGGCGGCCCGGGTTTGGATCCCGGGCGCGCACCGACGCACCACTTCTCCGGCCATGCTGAGGCCGCGTCCCACATACAGCAACTAGAAGGATGTGCAGCTATGACATACAACTATCTACTGGGGCTTTGGGGGGAAAACAAAAAAAAAAGGAGGAGGATTGGCAATAGATGTTAGCTCAGAGCCCGTCTTCCTCAGCAAAAAAGAGGAGGATTAGCACGGATGTTAGCTCAGGGCTGATCTTCCTCACAAAAAAAAAACAAAAAAAAAACAAAACCCACCAACAGCTTCCAATAGCTCTTAAAATAATGCCCAGCCTGCCCGGCCCAGCCGGTAAGTCCCGATGTGACCTGCCGGCTACGTCTCCATCCTCATCTCCTAACCTCTCCTGCCTTCATGTCCTCCCACGTACACTGACCGCCTTTCTGTTCCCTGGAAGTGCCACCTGCCTTCCTGACTCACTGTTCCCTCTGCCTAGAAGCCCCTGCCCCAGCTTTTAAAATGGCTCAGTCCTCATCCTTATCATTGGCTTAAATGCCTCCTCCATCAGGAAGCCTTCCCTAACTGCCTTATCTAAAGTAGATCCTCTCTATGATACTTTACCACAGGCCCTGAAGGTTTCCTTTGTCCCAGTGCCTAGAACAATGCCTGGCACAAAGTGAGCTCAATAGATAAATGTTGATGGCTGTTGTTGCCCAGGAGATCAGGAAGTTTCTCCAGAGAAGTGGGCTTTGATGGGTGAATAGGAGTTTGCCAGTTGAAGAAGATGGGTGAGTACATTCCAGGTGGAGGGAACAGCCTGTGCAAAGGCCTAGAGGAGTTCAAGAAGGAGCGACCGCAGGACAGCAGGATGGTCACAGAACATCTCAGACCCAAGCTGGTCTCTGAAGCTCGAATCTTCATGAGCCCGGCTGAAACTGATTTTTCGTAGCAACAGGTGACAGTGCTGGGTGACCAGGAAGCTAACCACCTTTCTGTGCTGACAGATCAGGCAGGAAAGGGGCCAGGGCAGGTGGGAAGCAGGAACAAGGGGTGTGTGCCAGCGGGCAAGTGCGGTTGTTCACGGGAAGCTGTGAAAATGACAAAAAGCATTACTGATATTACTGCTAACATTTATTAACTGATGAGGAAGCAAACATAATTTTAAGGGCTTCAATTCTACTGGAACCCGGGCTCTCAGGCAGGTACTATTATCTCCCCACGTACAGAGGGAGATACAGAGGCACGTGGTGTGGTCTCTGCCATTTGGACACCCCGTGCAGGACTGGGGTTTATGCCGAAGTGGACGAGGAGCAGCTGTGCCCGGATCTCCGTTTTGCTGGGGGCGGTGTGCGAGCACGGCTCTGGAGCCCGTGGTTCTGGGGGCGGCTTCTGCACCCCGGGCCGCAGCCGAGCAGGTGCATCGCCCGGAGTCCCGGCAGCAAGGGATGGCACCCTCAAATGCAGAAGCTGAAGAGCGTTTAATAAAGGGACCAGCGGGGCAGGGCTAAGGGGGCCTGGAAGAGACGGTGCTGCCCTCCGAGGCTGGCGACACGCAGGGGCTGTCGCAACCCCAAAGCCTAGAGGGGCAGAGGGGGAGCAGATTCCAGAGCCCAGGAAGAGGATGACCGAAGCTCTGAGACGGACCACGGCTGGGGGCTGTGGCTGCTGGTAAGGGACTCAGCCACGGTGGCCCCACAGAGGGGCAGAGCCGGAGGAGTAAAGACCCTGACCCCGCTCTCCTCCACACTCCTTTTTCCCGCCCGGGCCTCCTCTTGGCGGAATCCGAATGGACGCCAGAGGCAAGCAAGCCCGTTTGCAGTCCACAGAGGTCAGGATGGAAAACTGGGAGAGTGGATCTAAAGAGGTGAATGGAAATATCGTGCCCAAAATTTATGCTTCTGGAGCCACAGTCATTCAGCAGCTCTGCGGACGTGGCGGAGGCAGCCAGCCCCGCAGTGTTAGTCTGAGAGTCGTGGCTGGAGGACCCATGTCCAGCCTGCTCTCCAGGCTTCCCATGGCTCCGTGATCACCTAATTTCCTGTGTCAGGTTCCTTTCTGCTTCAGCAACTGAAGTGGTTCCAGTTATTTGCAACTGAATCCCGATTAATATAGGGTTTGTTACTAGACATCATTGCAGGCGACATATCCTTAAGGATGAGAAGCTGGGATTGGTTACGTGTCCTGGTTGGCTTAAAGGCAGCAAGGATCTAGTAATCACTCGAGAATGGAATTCAAGTGGACCCTGGTGCATGGTGGCAAAGCAATGACCTGTGACCACCCAGAACCAAGTCCCTGTTAAATCCCCAGCTTTGTAGACTGAGCCGTGGCTTCCACACACGGTGTGAGGAGCCTGGTTTATTCCAGGGCTCCGGCTGAGTTTGCTTTTTATTGTCGCACCAAAGAGTTTTGAAAAGAAAAGAACAGTCTCCGGGCTTTCGATCCTCCGTTCAAGGTACGTTAGAGTTCCAGGGAGTTCCTGTGGTGGCCCTAAAAGAACCCCTCATCTCTTGGGGCTGCAGGGCTGACAGAGC